CGAGCAACCAATAATTTTTGCGCTCTTTCCGCAATACACTGTTACCGATGCGACCAGGCGCGGCCGCATCATCATACGTGAATCTAAACGGTGTTTGAGCCCGTGCGGACTAATGCGGACCACACAGGTTTGAGTAATTTTATACGTCTGTAGCTGTGATCACGACAAATTGCGGTAACTGCTCCGTGTACAACTCAAGTCCTTACTTACAATCCCACGATCTACTCGTAATTGCTCCCGATTCCGACGACTCAATTTATAGAGAAAAGCCGGTTTCTGTGAAAGCATGTATTTTAGCAAGAAGGACTTGCACTTTCACCTAAAAATGTATATAAATAAAAATAGTCAGTTAGGCTGTTATGAATACCTATATATAGGGTGATTTAAACGTTGATTTATTATTGGATGGTCATCAAAACAATTTTGGTTTTTATTTACTTATTTCTTACCTTGTAGACAATTTGTCCGGTTATTCACCAATTAGGAACGTGTACTGCACTTTTGTCCTCTTCCAGGCAAAATCGGAACCAAAATCACTTCTACTAGGTCGATGTTATGCATATGTTTGTTAATTTAACAATTTCCTGTTTACAGACTTATTACCTACCAATTCTCTAAAAAAATTTCTATTTTGGCCTCTTATATGCCTTTTTACACCTCCACCTAGAGATTTATATGTAAATAAAAATAATTGATTACTGTGTTAATAATGCAGGTAAATGTTGAATTATTCCTAGTACCTTATCGGATGATCAGCCCAAACAATGTTGGTTTTTATTTTCTTGTTATCTCTTCTTTAGTATTGTCAATATTCTTCTTCCTGTAAGTGATGTATCCTTGACTGTTCTTACTATTCTTATTCATCTCTGTATATGTACATTATTCGCCGTTCTTTCTTTAATTGTTATGTTGTCGTTACTCCTCAGTCTCGCTAGATTCTCTGCTACTAATATTACAACATTTTTTGCTTTTTTAATATTTATTTAATATGGTTCTGTGCAGTTCAGAGAAGCATATTAAAAAATACCTCATGCTGTAAACAGACTGTAAAATATACTAAAATGTTTCTAAATTAAGCCATGGCCAACAGACAGATACGAGTGATATTTGTGATAACTACGAGCGCCTCTGAACTAAATCCAAACTGACTTATAAAAAGAACAAGAATTATAGGCTTAACATACGTCAATTTTTCCAATGCCTTCTTTGAAAACATTTTCTGTGGATCACTCCTTATAACTAATCAACGCTGCATGTAGAAAAATCAGGTTCTGTACATAATTGGAATTAGCCATATCGAAAAGTTTAGAGGTGTACACGTCTCCCATATTAATTAATTAACTTGGGTAGTACAACAAATGTATTGCAGATTATTGAAATAAAAATTTCTTCGATGTTGACTTACAAAAACTGTGATTGAGGCGTCTGAACCTATTTTTTGTGAAATATTGAAGGTATTTTCGAAAACCATCCATTACACGAATTGTATTTGTTAAGACTATGAGAATATAAATATTTTCTTACACTTGGTTTCTTATTTCTTCTAAATTATATCTACCAAATCTAGTAATCACAACGGATGAATTCATTATTATTTTATTTTTCAGTGACATGTATGATATTTTGTAATTCGTAATCTGCACTAATTTTTCGTCCTTGAAAGGGGTCAACAACAAGACCAAATACAAAATTAGAAAGCAATACATTAACACATGAATAATTACAAAAATGCTATTTAAAAAAATAATAATGGGCTTTTATAATTTAAAATTTCATTTGTAATAGAAGGAAAGAATACAAAAAATTGCTAATACATAGTAACAAGATTAATTAATCAAAGCTATAAAATAATATATCTTTTCCTATTTGTCTATTTTATTTTGATTGTTCGAGTCAAGATGAATAGTTTTTTGTTTATTAACATATTCTAGAAATTATTTTGGTTATATAAAAATCTTATTATATAATTATTTAAGTCTAGAAACAATTATTTTTAAAAATTACAGTTGTCGACATATGCAAAAAATTGGATCCATTATATATTTCCCATTTATTGTGACTTTTAAAACTTAGCACTCGGTATATGGCATAATTAAATTTTATATTTTATGTTGTATCTTAAATTTATACCGGATCTAAAACTGACATCTCCAAATATTTTTCTTATTCGCTAAAAAATAGGAATGGATGGAATTTTATTGCATCTGATTATACTTAATTAATATTCTTTATTTTTAAATTATTTAAAATAATTTTAAACATTATGTTTATGCTGATTAAATGCTTAATTTTGTAATATACATCAATTGAAAATTATAATTTTTTATATGAATATTTGTTTTTGGGGCCAAAATTCACTAAAATTTGGAACCAGAATCTCTTAATAATATAATTTCTCCCGAATTTCATTATGTATAAGTACAATTTACTATTTACTAAAATTATACTAAGTAATAAAAAAAATATATAGTCATTAACAATTTTTGAATTTTCAACTTTAACTTTATTTCGGAAACCAGTAATATTTAAGCATTAATCGTCTTATTTGTAACCAGAGAATCTTCAGTTGTTCTATGTCTCTTTCTTAACTGAACACCCTGTATACAGGGCTAACGTTAGTTAATTATGAAATAAATTGTATAATATTTCATATTTTTTGCATATTGTAAATATTGGATATGGATATGTTTTGGTTTATATTTAAATTGAAGTTAAGAATAGTAGGTGAAATCTAGCCTCATGGTGTTTATGTGCATTGTATATTACAAGCCAATATAGGCATTTTATTATTATTAATACTTATTTAATATTTACAGAGCGTTTCATTGGGAAAGGGAAATATTTTCATCCTATATAGGTATCATCCAGAGGACAAAAAACCAATGTAGTGTGGGTCTTGCGACCTTTATAACCTCTGGCGTACTTCAAGGCTCGATTCTGGGACCGCTTCTATTTATACTATTTGTAAATGATATCATTAATGACGTTAAAGTTTAAATATTTAATTTATGCAGACTATGTCAAAATTTAACAGGTAGATATCTTAAATGATTGTCTTAAATTACAGAGTAATATTAATAAAATAAATAATTGGTGTTTAGTAAATTCAAAAAATTATTAAATTCAAAAAAGATTTTCCAGTTCTCTATAACTACTGTTTGGATGGTGTTATATTAAATAGGCCTGATTTTGTCATAAATCTTGGGGTAAAGTTCGATAGAAAACTTACTTTTAATGAACATCTAAATGACGTGGTAAAAGCATCATTCAGAAATTTGGGATTTATCATTAGGCATGCAGTTGACCTCAATTCTATTGAAACCATTAATATGTTGTACAATGTGTTCATCAAATCAAAATTAGAATATGCTTCACAAATATGGAAACCATTTTATGATATTCACATAAGCTCTTGAAAACGTTCAATGACGATATTTAAAATTCTTGGCATTTAAGATAGACGGAACATATCCACCATTTGGGATAAATCACACGTTGCTTTTAAATAGATTCCAAATGCAAAGCTTAGAATGTAGACGAAAAAAATTAGTCGTTAATATTCCTATATAAACTTATTAACTACCAAATTGATTGTTCCGAGTTATTAGAACAACTTGTATTTAAAGTGCCAATAATTGAATCTACAAACAACTTAATGTTTTATCTCCCGTTATCTCAGACAAATTTATTAAAAAATTCGTTATATTTTATGTGTGAAAACTGCAACAACCTGCAAGGTAGAATTGATTTATTTTCTTGTAAGCTTTCGCAACTCAAAAAATTGTAAAGATATTTCGGTACTATTTGCTGGTGCATAGTCATTAATTTATTTAATTTTTGTCATATTATATATTTCTTGTTATGTTGTGTAATTTATGTTATATCCATATTATATCTTATTGTGCAATATATTATATATACTTTTGTAATTACAATTACAACTAGGCATTTAGCCTGTAAAGCAGTGTATTTAATAAATAAAAATAAAATAAATAACCGAGTTACAGGATTTTGAATTTGGCCCATAACTTTTGAATCATTCAGTATATTTTTTTGATATTTGGCATATAAATTCTACACCTATAGGACAATTTATCAACGTATTAAAACATTTCAAATTATAGGTCCAGCATAATGAAAATTATTAAAATTTGACCCACCCTATATCAAATTTTTATAAATTCAATATCAAAGTTGGAAAGCATAAAAAACTGAATACATTCATCAATTTTTTATTTTTCCGCGTGCCGTTTTACTACCAAATTTTTAACGTTAAAATGTACTTTATGAGAATTTGTGTTTATGCAAAATGTAGTTGAAGGGCTTTTAATTATTTTTTCTCCAATAAAATTAATTTTACCTAACTTTTTCATGGAAATTCCTGAAATAAACTTATTGAATTTGAAGTAGCATTCACAAAAACCAATAAAAATTTAAATGATTCATATTCATTTAATAATTAATCATTAATTATTTAATTTTTATATTTTTCCCTTTCCCAATGAAACACCCTGTATTTAACTTGGTTAATAGAACTTTTTACGAACACGTACCTACACACTCCAACCTTACGAAGCAAAATAATAAACTACGCACTTAAAAATACTCCAACCCGTAAAAGGAACGGTTGATTTTTATCAGTGTACGTGCATACATACGCTGACCGCGAAGGTGAGCTAAACGGCATAGAAATTATGATTCCAATGCTGGAAATAAGGGTAGGAGGCTTTGAAAAACAGTCGGCATGACAACTAACATCGGACCGCGTGAGCGCTAGAAAAGGAGGGAACGATCCATGCGTGCGCTCCGTATAGTGATGTCTGAAACGCTGACAGCCTGCCAGTACTATTACAAGCCACTCAACCAATCCGCGTCTGGTTCACAGTGCAAACCGACTGTCAGTGTGGACCCATAGAAACCCGCTAGTCGCGTTTCAATTTTGACAGTTCGATTTCGTTTCGTCGAAGTGTTTAGGTGTTTGTTCCATGCGTGTGTGTCACGGTTTAGCGCGAATTTAAATATTCTACCCGTTTTCGCGAAATCTCGAAAGTTTTTTTTTTATTTCAGTTCGTTATAAGTGATTTTAATTGATTAAGTGATGTGCTCAATTAACATTCTGGCGGGGTCTTTTAGATTTCGTTTCAAGGTAAACCGAAAAAGACATTCTTCAAATTTTGTGCACTGTGTGTGGTCCTTCGAACTGGATAGATTTGAGAGGAATTTTAATGCGGACGCTAATTGACACGTTAAAAACGAGATATGTGTAACGGAAGAGGTACGCTTTTTAAAATGGATTTAATCGGATACGGTTTAATGTGCGCTTTTATGCTGCTGCCCGAGTCCTATAGGGACTTATATAATACCCAAACTGGTTTGCGATTCATATTCAATTCGAAATAATGACGCTTAGGTACTAGAGGAATAAATTTGATGGAAAAATATTTGCATTATTTATTTATTTACTAAATAAACAGAGCATTAAGTTCAGTAACCCAAAAGTTTTATTATAATTTTTTTTTATATATATATAAATTAGATATTGATTAGAAACTCGTGCTATAATTTTAATAAATAATAGTTTAAAAAACTAAAAAATACGCTTTAATAGAAAAGCAAACTAAAAAGTAGAAAATAATTGTCAATAAATTTAAATTAAGAATGGTGTGATTAATAAAAAAACATTATGTTATTGTAGAAAAGCGTGGGATGCTTTTTAAGATATTTTCATAATGACTCCACTTTTACCAATATCTGTCATTAAAATATAACAATTGACATCAATTTAAATATATTCAAAATTATTTTCTACTTTCTAGTTTGCTTTTATATTAAAGCGGGTTTTTTAGTTTTTTAAACTGTTATTTATTTTCTACTTTTTATTTAGTTATTTTGTAATAACTATTCTACAAACTTTTTTAATCAATTTCATTCATACAAAAAATATACCTCCGACCGTATAGATTCATCTATATATTCAGTTTTGTTTGAATTGAATTGAAAAATTCGTGCTTAACTTTTTTGAAATTGTTTGTTCATGGAAACCCCATTTTATAAAACCTCTCTGATATCGGCGGAATTGGTTAATAATGTTTCTACAAAAGTTACCACAGGGATAACTGACTAACTGCATCTAAAGCGAACTTGAGCTGGGTTTTTATTGGAAATAATCATATTAATGAGTCAATCGATAAATAGAGGATCGAAAGAGATGGTAAAAAATGCACCCCCCTTCCCTCAACCCCTAACATTGAATAAAATTTGATAAAAAGTTATCACAGGGATAAGATACGGTATCGAATTTGGAAAATCGCTAATCCTGAAGGTCCTGATCAGGATAATGGGACAAACTATTTAAATTATTGCATTGTCGTCGGTCATTGATAAGTGTGCAAAATTTTAAATCAGTCCGACATTTTGAAGGGGGTAAAAATCATGTTCAAAGATTCCGTTACATAGATACATACATACATACCAAGCTAAAAAAGTCGTGTTAAAAATTGTCTCGCGCAGATTCATCTAAGACAATTATTTAAAGAATCATTAAAATCTGTAGAACATTACATTACACAGCCAAATAATAAAGCGTGTTAAAAATATATTTTTTCTACATCCACATGGTAATTAGTTTACCTACGCACAGATTACAAAACGAAAAAGTATGCTATTGCCTTCAACTGAACGAATATACTTTATGTCCAGTCGATGTACTGAGAACACTGCAAAAACAATTAAATCCACCAATCACCGTTCATATTTTGATCAACCAACTGCTATTATTTTTAATTTTAAATAAGTGACAATTCTGTCAAACTAATTGTCAGTATAATTTTTAGTTATTGAGATTAAACAAACATTAAAATGGGTTATTCTTATGTAGAATCGATAAATAATAGCAATTCTGTCTTTATTTCGTCTATAATTATAAATAATTTGTTAATTTAAATAAAACTATATGAAGTCAATTTAATTACGAGTATTAAAACAACAGAAATAGAAGAATATATGGTCCTGTGGTCAGCGTTCTTGCCTTCCACACGGAAGAGTCGAGTTAGATTCTCGGATGGGGAAAAATGAAATGAACTTTTCTTCTTTCTTTATTTTAAAACTTATTAAAACTCATAAATTATTTTAAAATTAGTTATTTTGTCATAATAACCTAAAATGTTTTTTTTTTATTTGTAAATTTTCGTTAGTGGGTCGTAGAAAAAATATTCTGTACAACTCGAGTGGATTGTCCACATCGCACTCAAATCGTGCTCAAATTTCGTCTTCGTGCGATAAGGTCATCATATCCACTCTTGTTGCACAAACTACTATTAATATACCTACTTGTAATTTTAATGAGAGTAGGTATTTTAATGACAACACAACGTTTTCGTTTTTATATAATGCTGTATTAAATTGTCAATTTAATTAAAAATTAATAATTTAAATAAATTAACAACATTTTAAATATTGTTTACCCATTTAACTTATATTGATGTATATATTAATAGTAATTAAAGGACTTTATTTGTACTAGGTACTCGTAAAAGAAACATATTTCTACAATTGTTGGGTGATAATTCTGTACCATCTGTGAATAAGTCGGTAAATCAAAAAGTGAAGTTTTTCAGTACGGCCATTTTAAACATTTTAATGTTTTCGTAAAATAGAAATTTCGTTTTTTTAGAAATAGGTTGTTAATTATGCAACCAGCAATGTAAATATTTTTGACCTGTCAAATTATACTACTTACTGGAAAAAATCTGACTTACCTATTTATTCGCCCCAAATTTGTGAGTTAATGACTTATTACAGTGCAAATAAACTTTTAACAAATTTTTTTTAGAATTTTTTTTGTTTATTTATGAAACGCAAAGTGAAGTTTGTACATTTTGATTGGAAAATAACACTAAAAAACTACTGATCATCTGGATCAACCTCTTCCAAATCCGGGGATAGCTGTAGTTATCGGTTTTGGCACAACAAATTTCGAGAAATCCAACTATTTACGGCGTTCTCTGAAATAAACTATTGTGAATTTGATTACCCATTTATTCACCAGACAGAATGGAAAGAGCACTATGTATATATCTCGTTTTTACTAAAATTTGACTTATCTACTTATTCACGGATGGTACAGAATTAATCTACGGCTATTTTTACACCTTAATCTAAAAAAAAACATAAAGTTATATAAATTATTTTAACAAATTATAAAGCAAGTTTATTTAAATGATTTTTTCTACACCCGTATTATAATAATGCACTTATATGCCCATAATCCGTTTCATAATGATACCCATTATGATACAGATTTTTCATTACGATACAGATTTTTAATCAATAGAAACCTACAATTTTTCAATCAAGCATGCTGTTTGACGTTTGTCCTAGGTTCCTATGTAATTATTTTAGTTGTCAAAACGTATTAAATTTTCGTAGGTAGCTAAACTTCGATAATTATAATATTAAAATGTCTGATATTAGCGATATAGAAGACTCCTCCACACATATCGGAGAAAGCAGAAAATACAGTACAAAATATTTTACCGCAAAAATCTAGGGAAATACCAATACCTGAAGTAATACCATTAATTACAATTTTGTAGAATTTTTTATAGAAATACGAGTAATTACTGTTATTGTGTTCAATACCAATATAAATATAATATTTATAGGTCTTAATTATTTATCGGGTGTAGAAAAAATAGCGTATGCAACTCTCATGTAATGGTTATTAAAACACTCGCATAAACCATACGAAACTCGCCTTTGGCTCGTTTCGTATCCCGGTTAATGCTCGTGTATTAATAACCATCATTACATGATCGTTGCATAATATACTATTTAGATTCTATAAAGAATAAATAAAATAAAGAGAAACAGATTAATGCCTTTAATCATATTATTTTCGTAATCCTAAACCATTCGTGAAAGTTGTAATTACATATATGTACCCATACAGCATAAACATCTTTCAGAATTATTTCAAAAATGTTACACTGAAACATTTGTAATGTTGTATAAATATTATGAAACATCCCAGAAACATTTCTGAAATGTGCCTGAAACGTAAAAATGTCCTGTAAATATAATATTTTACAGTATTATTTCAGAAATGTATTCTAGTTATTTTTTCTAAAAAACACATTTAAAAATATACATGTTTATTTAAATACACAAAACTTAAAAATTGATTCTTAAACAAACAAATAAATAAATTTTAAACATTATTTCATAAAATATAAAAGCGAATCGCTTCATTTCCACAAATTCCTTTAAATGCACTAATCTGTAACAAATAGATTTTTTTTTAATAAATGTCCTAATATAAGTAAATAAAAATTTACTATTATTACAATCTGATCATTAAGATCAATTTGCAATTTTATTCTAACCTAACTTATCTAGGGATAAAAAACTGCATAAACTAAGATTCTACTCACTAGTGTACCTTAGAGTCTAATTATTTAGTAACACTACCGTACTATACTCTGTTTCAATCTAACATCACTGAACTAACTCAAAAGGCTTATTTCTCTTGAGTCTTCTTATTATATTGGCATTATTGAGGAGCTGGATAATCTCAAGGTTTCCATGTTGGAGCTGTCGTTGTTGGTGACTACTAGCAAATTTTTGTATTGCATTTTCAACAGTCTCCACTTTAAGGTCCCTATGAAGTACTGCGGCAATACCAGGGTTAAGGTGGGCCAAAAACAGCAAAAAAAATCTATTTTTAAAAATGTATGATACAGTAGTGCAAAAAAGCTGTTATTTATGTTCCCTAAGTGCTCTAAAATAAGTTGGGCTATTTCACTCAATTTTTAGCCGGGTCCCTAAGGAGTAAAAAAGGGCCAATTTTTTTTTGTTTTAAACTTCAGGTACCGCAAAAATTTTGATAATAGCGTCTTAAAGCTCCCATTAATTTTTTTTTTTAATAATATTTAGCGGGCCCCAAAGGGTCTAAAACGGCATATTTTGCAGCGGTCGCGTAATAAGCTGAAAGCCCTATAGTTATATGTGCAACATTTCGCATGGTTTGAGACTTTTTAAATACTGACTATTTTGATATTAAATAAAAAGAAAAATTAACCACCCCAGAGCTTACCGCGAGGAGGTAGCTGCACTCCGAGCTCCGCCCCCCCCCCCCCCACCCCTTCCACCCGTTATACAACTTACACTGTCTTGTGCGTATCTATTGTTTTGTAGTATTGTCCTTTATTCTCAAACTTAGGCAATATTTTTCTTGCTTCCAATTTGACTCTGTTATATACTCATCCCTTGATGTTT